GTAATTTTTCTTTTCTAGGGTAGTCTTCATTATTTTAGTCCTTGGGTTTACATTTGCCTACTTGTTAACCATTTGAGTCTTTTTCCCTTCTTTTCAAGCCACATCTTTAGAACTTTGAGCCTTTTGTTCCATTTTTAGTTTTTGTGAAGCAAATGGTCATGTTATTGGAGATTGTGATATATGAGTATGGATATTGGTTCTTTTTGTAAGCAAGATTAAAGTTTGGAAACATTAAAATGTTCAAAATTCCAAAATGAATGTAAAATCAGTTTGAGATGAACAAATTAACACCACAATATGATTGTTGTGATAAATATTTAACTCAAAAGGAATGATCATCTAAAGGGAATTGTTGAATTAATTCACAATCCAGAAACATTACAATTAAAATGTATGTTTATGAAGAAGGAATAAAACTTTTCTCGCCATGGTTCGATCCAAGATTTAATGATTTACAAATATCGTTTTGAGGATATACATTACAACAACAATTGCGAATATACTAAACAGAAACTTAACCAAAGCAGTAGAAAAGATGTCATAAGAGTTATGATTTGGAAATGTTCCAAAAGGTATCTTTTCTAAACAGGATTAAGGGTTATGAAATCAATGTAAAATGTTTAAAAGATGAGATAATGCACCCTAAATATACAACCCTTAAAATGTTTCACTTGTTCCCCTTATGAATAGTGCTCACATGTGTGAGTGGCATGTGTGATTGCTTTTGACTTGGCAATGTTAGTTGTTTCTTTGCCATGTGGCATCTTGGAGGGGACATGTGTTGTTTTGTTCTTTTTGCCTCTATCACCTTCAGCCTTACTTCTTTGGTGATTCATGGAGACATGCATTCTTCTCATGTGAATTCACTTTCCTGTTTTTTTCTCAAAATTTTGTTTCCTTTATTTTTTCCTTTTTTCCTTTTTCCTTCTTCTATGGAACTCTATGTAATGAAGTTGACACATCACTATGTGTCGATCTTCTATGTGGTTTCACCGGCTTCTTCACCTTCTGCAATTGATAAAGCAAAATCACATGTTTTCATCAATGGCTACAAGGTGTCAAAATACCTACCATTTCATCATATTATCAGAAGGTAAATTGTATATATAAGCATTGGATTTAGATTACTATTTCTTCATATGTTTGCCTTTTATACACTGATATAGTAAAATTTGTTTTTTATTTGACTCTAATTTTCTGATTTCATCATACTCAAAATTAAAACTTGTCTCTATTATAATTCATTTTATCATCGGAATAGTGTAAATTGTACATATAAGCATTGGATTTAGATTATTTAGATTACTGGATTTAGATTTTATTTTGCCCTTTATACACTGATATATTAAATTTTGTATTGTGTTTGACTCAGATTATCTAATTACATACCTTATATTATAATAATTATTATAGTTATAATTCATTATATTAAAATTAAATTAAAACTTGTCCCTTTGTAGTATATTCCTGCTTTGCTTAAAATTGCTGGTGTTCTCGAGGCTTATGTTGAGCTTATATAGAAATCATTGAAAATGACATTGACTTCTGTTCTATTTATCTATATATTTATCACTTTAGGTCCTAATCCAAATTCCAAATAAAAAAAGGGGTAGAAACCAAGAACTCTTGGTGGTAATATCTTGCTCCTATAATTATTTTAATTTTCCTTGTTCTTGTTGAATGCATATATTGGGCAATTTACACTAATCAGAAAATGTGATATATTCTTATGGCCTTTTGTTGGACTTACTTGGATTGCCAATCAAACTAAATATATCTTGACTTGTTTGCCATGACAATTTACTTTATATTTAGGCTGTTTAAGTGTGTAGCAATCTTAGTTATACAAATTATGGCTGTCAGAGCTACATGCACTGTATTTAATTATGCTCTTATAAAGTTCTATTTTCCAATTTTTGCTGTTTATATTATATTAGTTTTGATATGGTTGTTTTGTATAGTTTATATATATATATATATTCCTTTTTTAGGTCAAAATTGGCTAATGAGTGATAATATATTAATTGGCTAGATCACTGATTGTAATGTGATGGTTTGTGCAGGCTGGTGTTGGGGTCTTGTTTTACATCTGCTGCCCAGAATTATTGGTATGGCTTTTTTTTATCTTTATGCCATTTGATTTTCTTTACTATTGCTTATTTTTTTTTACTATTGCTTATACATCCTATAGTAAATTTTTTTGGTTCAAATATGTGCTTGGTATGTCATACATGTTGGATTTCACTATTGTGCTCTGTTTAGATAAAGATATGAATTTAGATGTGTGATAGTGATACCAAATTCTGTTTTATTATGGAGTAAGTGCCTGTTAGATTGTGGTCCTTTTGAATGATGTGTGCTTCCTTTTTAGGCTGCCTGGTAGTTATAATGTATGTCTCTAAGAGGGCTTTGCTTGTGTTTGTTTAGGATAGGATTGATTAGAATGTTGTCTTATTCACAATTAGCTCATCTTTCTAGAAAATTTGGTGAGGTAGGTTATGTTCTAGAATTAGTGAATAGGAACGATGTTAATTGTTTGATCCGTTGGCCATGCACACAAGTCATGGAGCTAGAGTCTCGCAAGGTCTCTATTTCGTACTGTTGCTTGTTAAAGTAGGTTATGGATCACATGCATTTTCCGCATCCTGTTTATGAATTAGTGGGCATTCATAAGAATCATGTGAAGTTGTATGTGGAAACGACAGACCTTGGATTTTCACTTACCTACACTTTTGATGGTGGTGAGGGTGAAAAGTTGGAGGCTTTAACTGAAAAGGCAGCAGAGGAGGTTGTCCGACACTTGAGGCTAGAGTATGACCTCTGTATTCATGATTGGACGAGTACTAAGATTTGGATGTACAAGCGTTGTGAGGTGTTGTTCCAGCTAAAGCATGATGCTTTGGAGTCTAAGGAACGGGTATTGCAGAAACCACCTGTTAATTGGCTTAGTGCTTTCCCTGAGAAGGCGGGTGCCAAGGATGTCTTTATTGACTACTTGGATGTGCTGCATGTGCTGACTGTAGAGACTTGTGCACGAGTCTCAGCTATTGAGTCCTCTGAGCTTGCACTGCAGGGGTATGTAGCATGGCTTACGGTGTATTGCCCTGGAGAAACAATTAACATGGAGTGTATAATCAGTGACATATGTGTTGGTGAGGCAGCTGCTAGACAAAATGCTGCTGTGAAGGCTGTTTCTTTCCTCCAGTGCAGGTATAGGGTCGAAATAATTGACCTGAACTATGGCCATGAAAAATATGCTGGCATTAAGTGTTCATTAGCTCGAGAAAGCTACATGTCTGCTCAAGAACGTGTGCTTTGTGTGCAAGGAAAACTTCACTTGGCGCCTTTCCTAGATGAGCATGACTGCAGCACACCTAGATCCCTCTGTAACAAAATCCCAAGTGCAAGCCTACCACCTAATACTCCTCGTAAGCGTAGAGCGCGTCCTACTTTCATGAGGGCAGGTGCATCTAATCAGCCTTCTGCACTTAACTTTGTTAGGGTCCCATCAGACTTGGAATCTGTTTTTAAGCGTAGGAAGAGGAATTAGTTGTTGGGTGGTTTGTTTAGAGATGATAAGTCAAATTTAGAATTTGTGTTGGTTGATGGCCTGATTAGTATTGTTGTTTTGTAAACCTAAGAGCTATAGTGTTTAGTTGACTTTGTGATATTGTGTTCGTTGTACTCTGAATTTGATGGCCATGTATTTTGGATAATGACTTTTAAAGAGCAATGAAATCTACAACTTCTCGGTTATAAAATTTGTTTCACTGTTTTGCATCTATATACTGTTATTTTTATCATTTATGATAGTGTGAACTAATGGGGTTTTGCTTTTTATTATGTATATCATTGATGTAGTTTACTATCTAAACATGGCAGGAGTATACTGTCTGCTAGATTTTTATCAGTGTCGGCCATCTATGGGTATCGTCTTCATAGCCTATTATATTGTAGTAGATTGAGTATGTTAGGATTCTTACCTTATATCATGTGCTACCTTCACTTGCTACAGACTACCCTGATTACCCTTCATCTTCTAAAAATAAAACTCGAACAAGTAAACGCATACGGGGAATTACTGGAGAGCCCAAAAAAAAGAAACAAAGGAAGCCTAAACCTATAGGGCCAGGTAGTGTGTTGTTTAATTTGCTATATTTAATTGCCTTATTATACATGTTGTCCAAATTGTAAACTAAGGCATGGTTATAAATATGTAGTTGGAGATGCATGGAATGTTGGCCAACAAATGCCAATAGCTCCTTTGGAATTGGCAGCTCCTTATTTCTGTGACAAATGCCTTGCACAAAAATTTGCCTATGAACCTCCTAAATTTTGCTGTAGTGGTGGGGAGTGTGTGATTGTCTATAATCAGCTTCCTCCTGAGATTATTAGACTATTTACTGCAAAAGATGAAATCGCTGAGTACTTTCAAATATATGTGCGTTTATATAATAATATGTTTGCTTTTAGCTCTTTGGGGGGTGCATTGGAATCACAATAAAAAAAGGTGTATATGCTTTTAAATTACATGGGCAGCTATACCATTTTGTGCCTGACTTGTTACCTGATGGCACCCAGCCACAGTTCCTTCAACTTTACTTTTATGATTCTCAGCATGAGGCTAAGCACCGACTTGACCTCTTCCCAGAGCTCCAGGCAGATGTTATTGCAATTCTGATGGAAGTTATGTCGCATAACCCTTATGCCAGATTTTTTAAATCTCCGAGGGATATTACTGTTTCAGCTGAAACTGTGATTACTCTCAACAAAGACCCTACTTTGGATCAGCGGGTGTATAATGCTCCAAATCTGACGAGGTGGCTGCTATATGGACTGATGCAAGTGCATCCCATGAACAAAGTACTCCTCACATCACAGTGTATGGGAAGTCTACTGAGAGCCACCGTATAATGCATTACTATGGCTGCTATGACCCTCTACAGTACCCTTTATTATTCCCTCGTGGTGATTGTGGTTGGCACCACGGCCTTCTAAAAATGTCTTCTTGTGGGCAGACTCATGATCAAAGCTTTGTAGTCACAGTCACTGCAGATGGGGATGATGATGCTGCTATTACTGCATTGCTGCAAGGAGATGATCCACGTAAGATTTTCAGTATTCTTTGTTGCATGCATAGCTAATGAACATACATTGCTAATAAATTTTCTAAACAATTAGACGGGTAATTTAATTAATTTTTTGTTGCATGTTGTTGTCTCAGCTGCTACTAATGGCAAATGGGGTAGGTGTATTTCTGCTAGGGAGTATTATGCCTATCGTTTCCAGATACGGATTGGCAATTATCTGTTAAGAGCAGGACGACTGTTTTTGCAATTCATTGTGGACATGTATGTGAAGATTGAAAATACGCGCTTGGATTTTTTCCGGAAAAACCAAAAGAAAAATAAGGGCCGAATTATATCAAGGTATTGTTGATACATTTGATGGTGGGGAAACAAATGCTTCTAATGTTGGTCACTCAGTTATATTGCCCCCTACATTCCTTGGGTGCCCTAGGGATTTGAGCAGGAGGTACCTTAATGCAATTACTCTTGTGCAAAGGTTTGGCAAGCCTGACCTCTTCGTGACTATGACTTGCAATCCCAACTGGCCAGAAATCAAAGCAGAAATTGCTCCTGGTGAAAAGGCTCAAGACCGACCTGATTTAGTTGCGCGTGTTTTCAGGGAAAAACTTATTGCACTGAAAAAGAAGATTACAGATGAATTTGTCTTTGGTGAAGTGGCAACTTTCATTTATGTTGTGGAGTTTCAGAAGCGTGGCCTTCCACATGTTTATATGCTGATTATACTGAAACAAGGGTATAAAATCAAGGAACCGGCCTTGTATGATAAGTTTACTTGTGCTGAGATACCTAGCAATGACAACCCTCACTTGCGTAAAATTGTTCTTCGCCATATGATGCATGGCCCTTGTGGTAAGGACGACCCTAGCTGCCCCTGCATGAACAAGAAAGGGTCCGAAGGAAAGTGTAAATATGGTTACCCAAAAGCATACAACGACACAACCACCAACAATGATAGCGGTTACCCTGCTTACTGCAGGCACTTTACTGGTGAGTCTACTCGAATTAGGGGGAGAAGGCTAGACAACCAATGGGTGATCCCCTACAATCCTTACTTGTCAGCGCTCTTTGATTGCCATCTTAATGTGGAGATTTGCTCCACAATTCAAGCTGTGAAGTATTTGTATAAATATGTCTACAAAGGGCATGATATATGTTCTTTCACTGTAACAGAAACAGGTGTGAGGCAACCTGTTGATGAGATTAAACAATTTCAGTCAAGCCGTTGGGTCTCTCCTTGTGAAGCTGCTTGGAGGATCTTTTCATTTGATCTTTATGAGATGAGTTCGCCTGTACTGTTGCTGCAGGTGCACTTGCCAAACCAGCATTCTGTTAGGTTTAATGCTACCGATCAACTAGAGGATGTAGTTGCTGATAGTAAAAGGGCCAGAACGTCGTTAACTGAGTTTTTCAAAATGAATGCTGCATTTCTAGGCAAGCCAAAATATCTGTATTCTGAATTTTCTGAACATTATGTGTGGCATCCTACTTCTAAGACATGTACATAACGTTCTGTTGGTGTTGTCGTTAGTAGATTAGCCTTTGTTTCTCCATCTGAAGGGGGGAGATATTTTCTCCGTCTTCTCTTAACGCATGTAAGAGGTCCCACATCATTTGAAGACCTGCGTACTGTTAATGGGTTTCTATGTGCTACATTCCAAGAGGCTGCTGTTAAGTTGGGTCTGCTTAGTGAAGATGATGATGTGGAAAAGTGTATGGATGAAGCTGCTACTGCACAAATGCCACGGGCACTGCGAAGGCTATTTGCAACACTGCTTATTTTCGGTAATCCACGTGATCCTTTAGCACTATGGCATAAATACTACACCGCTCTTTGTGAAGACTATAGCTATTCATTAAGAGGAGAGGAACAAAAAGTAAAAGCAATAACAGTTCGGGAAGTGGAGCGATATTTAGAAGAGATGGGCAAGACATTACAAGATTTTGGGTTGTAGTCTTTAGTCGTACCTGCTGATGAAGGGCTTACCAGGACTAAAGATATTGTAGATGCATTAAACGCACCTATACCTAATGAATATGTTGAAGAAATTGCTACATTAAACAGCAAGCAACGTGAGGCTTTCACTGCAATTATGAGCAAGGTCAACAGTGAAGAACCGGGAGCCTTTTTTATTGATGGTCCTGGGGGCAGGGGTAAAACTTACCTTTACTGTGCTCTCTATGCTGCCATTAGACAGTTGGGCAAGATAGTGCTTCCTACAGCAACATAAGGCATAGCTGCATCAAATATGGTCACGGGTCGGACATCTCATTCGCGTTTTAAACTTCCTCTAGACCACACCGTGTCAATGGCTTGCAATGTATCTAAGCAAAGTGGCCTTGCAGACCTATTAAAAGCGAGCACTTTGATAATTTGGGATGAAGCTTCAATGGCTTTGAAATAAAATATTGAATCTCTTGACCTGTTGCTTAGAGATTTATGTGAGGAAGAACAACCATTTGGCGGTAAAGTAGTTGTTTTTGGAGGAGATTTCCCAAGTTTTGCCTATTGTGCCTAAAAAATCTCAGAAAGAAGCAGTGGCAGTAAGTTTAGTTTCTTCTCATTTATGGAAATGCTTTACACGTATTAGACTAAGTGAGAACATGCGTGCACGGGCAGATCCATTGTTCTCTGATTTCTTGCTGGCTCTTGGAAATGGTGAGCTCCAAGAAACAGAAACTGGAAATTAAACATCCAAATCCCTGAAGAGCTCCTCATCCCATTTGAAGAAGAAGGTGTTTCCTTGTCACAACTTATTAAAGAGGTGTTCCTAGAGCTGACAGAAGGTCACTTCAGCCTAGAAATTTTCACTGATCGCCCTATACTAACACCTCTTAATGATGATGTTGATGAAATCAACAGCCTCCTTATAGAAAATCACCCTGGTGAAGCAGCAGTGTATAAAAGCTTTGATTCTTTGATTGATGAAAGTTGCAACTTCTATACAACTGAGTTTTTAAATACTTTATGCCCTGGAGGAATGAGCCCACACTCTTTAGTTCTGAAACAGAACTGTCCTGTGATTTTGCTTCGGAACATAGCTCCAGCTTCAGGCCTATGTAATGGGATTCGACTCATCTGTAAAGCATTCTACCCAAATGTTATCCTATGTATGATCACAACAGGCCATCATTCAGGCGAGATGGTCTTTTTACCACGTGCTAACCTGAGGCCTTCCTCTTCCAGCCATTACCCATTCAAGTTTGAACGGATACAATTCCCAATTAAGCTGAGCTTTGCCATGACCATAAACAAAGCTCAAGGCCAAACTCACAACAAGGTTGGGATTTATTTACGGCGTCCTTGTTTTTCTCATGGCCAACTTTATTTAGGGCTATCTAGAGCAAGGAAATCAAGCCAATTAAGAGTCCTAAGTAAGCCTATTAATGAAAAAAAGATGCAGATAGTATAAGGAATGTTGTGTCTTTTGATATACTATACAAGGATGGAATCATATCTAAAAAATCTTCACAGGTCAGTTTTCCAAGACAATTCCTAACTATTTAAGCTTAATGTACACTTATTCTTGAGCAGCCACACATAGCATAATACTTATCTACTTGAATGCAGGATCTAACAAATGATTTATGAGTTAATGTTGCAGCTTTACAGTAGTATATTACCAATAAAGATACAACGAGGTGAGTTTAAAGGGTCACTCAATTAATATCTTCAATTTGCATTTGCTTATGGTTCCTAAATATCATTAAGCTTCTGATGCAGGGTTTTTCTACCAAATGGGCAACCTGGATACATTTCTTCTCCCAGCTTTTTGCAATTCCTGCAGTAGCATTAGCAAAATGTACTAAATCTCAAATTACTTCAAGAAAGATTTGTTGGAAGGTATATTGACAAATTAAGACCTTCATGTTGAAAATTTTGTAATTTGAAATATCAATGGTAATTTCTTATCCAGCTCTATTTATAAAGTCCATTTCATATGCTTTTACAAAAATATATTTCTAATTTAAACCTGAAATTGTTGATTGATTAGTGTTAGTGTGTTACAGCTTATAAAATGTGAATATATAAAGTTAACACTTCAGAAAAACTTAAATAGTATCACAGAAAGAGGCATGTTAAAAGCAAAGATCTTTGGCTACCAACATAAATAAAGTCCAGCTTAATGAAGCCATTATAAGAAATGTTCATAGCATGTAGTCAAGCACAATAAAGCATATTAGAACCCATTGAAATAGCCTAGGCTATTCAGACTTGTGCAAATGTTACAATACCATTAACCATATGAACTTAATATCAAATTTTTAAAGGAGGGTTGCCAAAAGGTCTATTGGCAGAATCAAAGATCATTTTAATTTTCCTATTTAGAACTACTTATAAAATCCATTTTGGTTGCCTGTAAAGAATTATGTTTTTAGTTTTAAGGCTGAGTTATTGATTGTTTAGTATTACATGCTATATAAGAAACTTAGAAGTTAATCAAATAATTAGACCCAGATAACATTGATAAATAGGCCTCTTAAGAGCAAATCTCTTTATAAGCAGTGTATACAGCCTGCAGTCCAGCCAAAATTAAACACTTTACAACCCATTAAAACAGCCCATACAATATTGCAAATATATATAAAGAAATTATAGAATTTGCTTTATCCCAAAAAATTAAGGTAAACAAAATTGTAACAAAAAAAGAAGAGATTCCAGCTCCCAATGTTAAATAGTAAAACATGTTTCACAGGTGCTTATAAATCACAAAAAAGGCTATGCTTACAACTTCTGCAAAAAAAACAACAACTTATAACAATCTTATTTTTAAATAATAGAACTGTAATGGGAAGTAAGCAGATGACAACAACCATTAATTCCTTATCTCAATGCACATTAGTTTAGTAGCTACCAATTAATGCTTAAATCACTAGAATAGATATGCTTATGCCTATTACAAGTAAAAGCACAGTCAAATCGTCCCAATTCTTTTGTTTTACCTAATTATCACTTCCCTAGGCCTACAAAATATAAACCCATTGTTTTACCTGCTAGTTAATAGCCATTGCTTGGCTATATATTTGAGTATACAAAGCACCCTCTCACTACTATCACCTGCATTCTCTGGAAAATAGAAGAACTAAGGGAAAATTGTTCAGGAACTCCATTGAAGGTACTTCTTTACCTCTTCATTTAGAATTTAATGCTTACATGAATTCTTTTATTATGCTAGCATGAGTCTGGTATAATATAGTAATCATTTAGCATGTTTTTGGCATTGCATTTATGAATCATTTGCTTAATTATATGCCACAATTTCTACTATTATGCATACATTAATAGAGAAGAATAAGGTTATAACTACCACAAGTCCACAATGATAAATAGATAATAAGCACAAAAAAATAGAAAGAATAAGTGACCATTTCAGTAGTAAAATAAATACCCCATCATAATATGAACATATTTGAATTAATTATTATGGTCTTGTACTTTTGAACATTGCAGTTTATATAATCTCCCAATGAAATTAAATATTCCTCTACTGATTTATATAATCAACTAATCTGATAAGAATAACACACTTAAACTGTAATTTCAATGGTGCTTAAATTATAAATATGTAATTTTTTGTACTTATGCCCTGTTACTCATACTAAGACATTAATACTGTATAATGTGTTCTTTTAGAGTATGCTTAGGGTTAATCAGTTAGGACCTAATACCATCTATTATTGTCTATTAAATAAAACAAACAATACTTGCTTAGGTAGAAACATGTTAATTTATATAATCAACTAATCTTATGCTATAGTTCCCTGCATAAGGATTTACACTTATAAAATTTTTTTCTATTCTTGATTACTCACAAGCCTAAACTAATAATATATTCAACACAATGTGTAGATGAATCCTGAATATACCCCCATTAGCAATCTGACTCCACAAACTAAGGCATACAAAGTTCGGGCAAAAGTAATTGAGAAGGCAGAACCAAAGCTATCTCCTAACAAAACTCTGTACCAATGGCTAAAACTAGAGGACAATGAGGTTTGTTGCAAATACTGCTATTTTATTTTGGGTTAGAATTATGTATAAGTTGTTTATTAAACAACCCAAACTGGATTTAGTTATTTTTGTTATTCTTATTGCTTAAGGGAAATCGCATTCGTGGAACTTTATTTGAAAATGAAGTTGAGAGCTTCAAGGGAATTCTTGAGCTAGGCAGGGAGTATGAAATTGCAAATGCTCCACTAAGAGCTATTAATGAGAAATGGAAGACAAGGGAAGATGACTTCCAGATGACCTTTGGAGGGAACACCACTATCCAGCCCCTTCAAGCTGAAGCAGGACTTGTGCTTCCTAAGTACACTCCAATTGCCTCTATTCCGCGCACCAGCTCTAAGAATGAACGCTTTGGTATCTACTTAACTGCTTCTGCTCAAGTACTACTGCTTAAGTAATTTTTTATACTACTGCCCTGCCGCTACCCATAAACTTACTTTAATTTGCTTCTTGCAGATGTCATTGGAGTAATTCTATACATGGAGCAGGTTAGGCAGGTCAAACTGCATCAGGGGCTTCAATGGATGTTCGTGAGGTTGTGATTGCTGATGACAGGTATATTCTTACACATAGTTATCTAATTACTAACACACATTCCTCAATAGTTGATTCAATTGAAATGGTAGTCTATAATATAATAATTGAACAACCTATTGTTTTGAACATGCTTATTTTGCTCCACTTGGATCCAAAACTTAAATATTATTAAAAGTGTGGATTTGCAAATCAAAATAATTCGCTTATATAATTCGTACATGCAAATTATTATTAAAAATGTGGATTTGGAAATCAAAATAAATTTACAAGGATCTCATGCAAATGTGGTTTTCACTATGACTGTCAAACCATTAGATTTAATTTTGCTCACACTTTTTTTGCTTCATAAGCCCCTCATTTGATTAATACGCAGTATATATCAACCTCTAATACTCTCTCTTTGGGGAGGGCTTGCTACTGATGGTTGCGAAAAATTAGCTGCTTGGACATCAATCCCACTCATTGCTGGTTTTACCTACATGCGCCCAACATGTCACAAAGGTAAGAGGTTCTACTGCACTTCTATTTTTTTTGGTGACACTAAATAAGCTCCTATGATAACACTTTAGAAAATTTCTGAAACCACAGGCTTCTCGCTAGCATCCTCTATGTCTACATCAGTCATACTTGGGCCTTCAGGAGAGACAGCAGAAAATCTCAAGAAATGGTAAGCTACTTTATATA